GTGTCATCTTTTCCAACTAAAGGAATGCACTTAGCTAATAGACATACTGATACTGTGAAAATTTTATTAGAGTATAAGAAGAAATAAATCTGAAGCAGTAAAAGGATCTTTGAAATTTTAACTTCTTCAAAAAGTAGAACAATGTGAAATACCTAAAGACAGAAACTTTGGACATATGTGAGTTCTCCCATTCTGGAGGGTATCTTTGTCTATTTAAAAGCAGACATGCCATATTGATCTCTACTAGCTTTCCTTAGACTTTGACAAATGTAAAAATAATCTTGTCAAGATAATATTAAGACTCATTGCTCACAGGTATAAACATGCAATGAACTTAGAAGCTGAAGAAAAATTAAAGTAGAGTATTGTCAGTGGAGCAGCTAGATAATTTTTCTCTATTATTCAATGCCCAAATGTAAAATTGAGTTGCTTTCAAAAACAGAAAAGTAATATAAATTAAAATATGATGAAGGCCAGAAAAGGCTAAAAGACCATAATTACAAAGGAATCATTTGCATGAAAAAAAAAGTAAAATCAATCCTTAATCCTTAAAACATTGAAAGAAGCAAGGCATTAACATATTTTGAAAATCTAACAGAACTGAATAATAAGTTCTTTAGACTGTCATGACAGATCCTGTTTTATACTTTATTAATTAGCTTTGTCAGTAACCCACTGCTTATAAATAAACTGAAAGGTAATCCACATACTTGCCAAATTTATTCGTTTAAGCAGATGTTATTTTTCTCCAAATCATACCTCTTCATTCGAAATACATGTTTCACCATCAGAATATGAAATAGTCAGCAAGCTGTCTGTGTGGAGAGTTACCTGTGAGGTTAATCTCTTTTTTTAGTGTTTCTTGCATTCTTGTTTTCTTTATATTCATGTTTGTTATGTTAAATGATGAATAATTAAGATATCACCTCATGGTTTCATTTATCTCCTGGATGACCATTGTAGTCCTCTGCTAATGCAGAAAGTGACAAAGTTAAAATGAAGGTTTTGCTAAAGTATAAACCAGTGCCTTAGGAAGAAATGTAATTGATTGTTTAATTTCCGAGTTGTAGCAGCAGTCTCTCAGTTTCAGTCACGCATCACGATATGCTTATGCAGGTATTCAAAATAGTACCTCTAAGTATAGAAAACCCAGTCAAATAATAGCAAAGAAGTTATTTATTCATTCAAAAATGCAGCTTCGAGGGAAACAAGGAATTAATGGTTATTTTTGGCTGAAACAAACTCGCCAAACCATGTCAAGTGCTTCAGTCATGAAATGTAAAGGAATTTCAAACTATTAAACTGCTTTGGCATTTCTGAAATGTGTACACATCTTGTAACACTAAAAAACCCCACCAAAACAAATAATAATCCCCAAACCTCCCTTGCAATAAGATGTGCAGAACTTTCAAAAACAAAATCCTACTGCTGCTATGTTTATTCAAACAACATTTCTGAGGCTGGGCCTCAGAACCACAACACAACCAAAATGAAAAAGATTTAACTGCTGAAGATCTTGGCCTTGTACCAGCATCAACTAGCATTGATTTGAAAAAAAGAAGGAAGCTGGTGCATTGCCCCAACTGGTCAAACCAGATGTCATATGCATAAACCATGTATAACCCACTTAGTAAATCCAGGCATTTTCTGGCTCCATGTTGTCTTCTAAGTAATGAGTGAATATTAATAGTAACAGTAATAATACAAATATTACTACTACTACTAAAGTTATTTGTGTAGGATATACAACTTTTAGCTGAGAAACTCTCTGAGTCATAAATCTTTAACAATATGTGTATTGTCATCAATTCTTTATTCTCCATTCTTCTTTAGTCACACAGCAATAGCCATTCTCATGCATAATTACTACTGGATATGATAATTATTGAAATTAATCGTTGATTATATCCCTTATTGCACTTCTAATATTCTCATGCCACATCTACAAAGCTGTTCGCAGTGCTTAGCAAAATCATAGAATCATAGAATAGTTAGGGTTGGAAAGGACCTCAAGATCATCTGGTTCTAACCCCCCCATGATGGGCATGGACACCTCACACTAAACCATGTCAACCAAGGCTCTGTCCATCCTCGCCTTCAACACTGACAGGAATGGAGCATTCACAACCTCCCTGGGCAGCCCATTCCAGTGCCTCACCACCATCACAATAAAGAACATCCTAATATCCAATCTAAACCTCCCGTTTAAGTTTTAACCCATTTCCCCTTGTCCTATCACTACAGTTGCTAGTGAAGAGTCCCTCCGCAGCATCCATATAGGCCCCCTTCAGATACTGGAAGGCTGCTCTGAGGTCTCCACGAAGCCTTCTTTTCTCCAGGCTGAACAGCCCCAACTTTCTCAGCCTATCTTCATGCGGGAGGTGCTCCAGTCCCCTGATCATCCTCATGGCCCTTCTCTGGACTTGTTCCAACAGTTCCATGTCCTTTTTATGTTGAGGACACCAGAACTGCACACAATACTCCAGGTGAGGTCTCACGAGAGCAGAGTAGAGGGGTAGGATCACCTCCTTCGACCTGCTGGTCACGCTCCTTTTGATGCAGCCCAGGATACAGTTGGCTTTCTGGGCTGCAAGCGCACACTGTAGCCAGCTCAAATGCATTTTCTCATCGACCAAGTCCTTCTCTGCAGGGCTGCTCTGAATCTCTTCTTTGCCCAACCTGTAGCTGTGCCTGGGATTGCTCCAACCCAAGTGGAGGACCTTGCACTTGTCACAGTTAAACTTCATGAGGTTGGCATCAGCCCACCTCACAAGCATGTCAAGGTCCCTCTGGATGGCATTCCTTCCCTCCAGTGTATCAACCGAACTACACAGCTTCGTGTCGTCGGCAAACTTGCTGAGGGCGCACTTAATTCCACTGTCTGTGTCAGCGACGAGACAAGACCGGTCCCAATACCGATCCCTGAGGGACGCCACTCGTTACTGGTCTCCAGACGGACACTGAGCCATTGACCACAACTCTTTGTTTCATATATTAAGATAAAGGTAGGGAATGAAGATTCAGTACATTTGGAAGCTGCTTTGCAGAAATAAGGGAAAGGAAAAGAAGAAATAGCAGAAGCTGCACAGCCTCTTTTGTTTGATATGACCACCATTTTTTTCCCCAGACTAGCTGAGGCTGGATAGTCTGGTTGCTTGTTGCCCAGAACCCTGCTTGAAATTCTTATATTTACCTCTTAGCCTGCCAAAGTTTTAAACTCTTCTTCTTGATTCCATCATTCACACTTCTGACCCCTCATCTGGTCATGTACCTCAAGTCTATTAAAAAATGTGACATCTACTTGAGCTGCGTGTTCTTCTAGGATATGTATTTTGTGACCCTAGTAGTCTATCTGCAACATTTATTGGTCAGTTTCCGAGATAGCTTTATAGATTTGGCTTCAATCTTTCCCTAAACAGTTTGAATTTTGTTTGCTGGGGCTCATTTCTCTGCCAGTGTCAGGTCATGGAATACCCATAGTTGCCAGAGAAGGTCTGGATTAAATGAAGGAGTCTGATCTAAGATAAATTTTCAGTCTGAACTCACTTTTCCTCTTGGTTTGCCAATACTTGATCTTGGTTACATGCAGGAATCCTTTGTTTTTCTAGGATTTTGTTCCTTGGAGATGATGTTGATTAATTGAAGTCCATTTTAGGAAAAAAAAAGTCAGATTGGTGAAACAAGCAGATTTTTATATACACATTGTGTAAGCACTTCAGTACTACTGATAATGTTGCACCTCCACAAAGAAATAATCAACCTGTGTTTACAAGATAGAGTATTTCTTAGGGAACAGTATTTGTCATAATTGCCCAACTCAAAAAGACAGCAAAGAAGTAAGCCAATTTCTCTAGCTTAGGTATCTAACTAGCAACAATTCCAGATATCTAATGAAGAAATGCTCCAAAAAGAAGTGCCTCATTTTCCTGTTCAAGAAAAAGTTCAGTACCTCTGAAAGATTTCAAAAAGAGTTTCTGTCTACCTGAGTCTTGAGTTTAGGTGTAGTGGGGTTCATCAACTGGTTTTCCTTATCTACATAGGCAGTATTCTGTCTTGTGCAGAAAAAGGAAACTCTTACTAGACTGGATGGATCCTCAGTCATTGCCAATTTTTTTTTTTTTTCTTTTTTTTTAAGCAAATGAGACCATTTATCTTAAAATAGATGGTCTTGTTCAAACAAGGGATTTATGTAGCTTGGGTAATACAGATTGCATGGGTCTTTTCCAGATTCATGAATACAGACTTAGTGCAATCACCTATTACTACATCTGTTGCCTGGGTTCTGGGTTTACGTGTGCGCTGAGTTCAGCTATAACAGTTATTTTTCTTCTTCCTAGTAGCTGGTGAAAGGCTACTGTTTTGACTTTGGTCTGAGAGCAATGCTGATAACACTGGTGTTTTAGTTGCTGCTCAGTAATGCTTACTTATCAAGAACTTTTCAGTCTTATGCTCTGCCAGTGAGGAGGGGCACAGGAAGCCATGAGGGAGCAGAGACAGGACGCCTGACCCAAACTAGCCAAAGTGGTATTCCATACCACAGCACGTCATGCCCAGTATATAAACTGCGGGGAGTCACCCGGAAGGGCAGATCATTGCTCAGGTTAGGCTGGGTATCAGTCGGCAGGTGGTAAACTTAAACCACGACCAGGTAGGGTTGCTATCATTATTACTGTTATTATTTTTTGCTATTATTGTTATTATAATTATAGAATTCCTTTCCTTTTTATTTCTAAATGTAATATCTCTTTGGGGGGGGGTTACTATGTTTTTGTTCTTTATTGGGATTAGTAGGAGTTCTAAATACCTTTTCTGTGAAGTTTAATTGGAGGATGGAGGTCACCTTTCTCAATATTTATGCTTAGGTTGAAAGATCCATTTTTTGAAATATATAAAAAACCCCATTAACTGATGTGTTATCACAGGGATATGCACACTGAACAGACAGAACAACTCAATTTATATGTTTGTTAATTGTAGCAGTGTGTAACATGCTCCTGTTCTCTAAAACTTTAAGGGCAGTATCCCAGATTTCCTCCTGCATTTCAGCACAAGCTGTCTTCTAGTCTAGGGATGGAGAATAGTCATAAACCTGTTTCTGTTTGGAGGCACGTTCTTTCATAAATTGCATAATCATGTGATGAATAACTGGCAAAAAAGCAATATGCTTCTGTCCTGGGTTCAGCAGTAGCAGTCATGTTTCTCCTTCTTGGTAGCTGGTGCAGTGCAGTGTTTTGACTTTCAGCCTGGGAACAGAGCTGATAACAAGGATGTTTTGGTTTGGCCAAGGACTTTGTGAGCCTCATGCTCTGCCAGGGAGGAGGGGAAGCCAGGAGGAAGCAGAGACAGGACACCTGACCCAAACTGACCAAAGAGGTATTCCGTGCCACAGCATGTCATGCCCAGGATGTAACTGGGAGTGAGCCGGAAGGGCTGGGAGACTGCGGGGTTGGAGGAGGTATCGGTCGGTGCTTGGTTGGGCTGGGGGGGGGCAAGTTATCGGTCGGCTGGTGGTGAGGTGTTGTATTCTCTTCCCTTGTTATTTCCTTTATCATTATTATCATTGGTGGTAGCAGCAGTGATTTGTGTTATACCTTAGTTACTAAACTGTTCTTATCTCAACCCGTGGGAGTTGCATTCTTTTTGATTCTCCTCTCCGTCCCTCCGGGAGCAGGGGGAGGGAAAGAAGGGGGGAGTGAGTGAATGAGTTACCTGACTGGGTTTAAACCACGACAGCTTCTAAATAAGGTACCCATTTTACAAACTTATCTTGGTAACTTAAAGACAAAGAAAATAATCCAGGAGGCATACGGTGTGAGTTATTTTTAAAAATAACATTTTAGAAGATCTGAAGAGAAAAACAAGAGGTAACATTGGGGCTCTGTGGTGACTGCCTACCTGCAATGACTACAGAAGTACAGCTTACAGAGTCTGCTCTGGAAACCTTCAGTCTAGTTTAGATATGCACAGAGTTTGGCACCCTAGGTGATGTAGACTTTCTGCTATGCAAAAAAATCACCCCTTTCAAAAGTGCAGAAGAGAAATAAAGCAAATAGTGTACAAAAAAATAAAAAAAAATCCATAAAGAAGTCATTATTTCTCTATCCTGGCTTTTAGATAAGATGCTTTTAAAAGATGATTGGTGTCTCAAATATTTATCAGGGCAAATAACAAGGTGCATTTCCACTAAATCAGAATAAACAGGCTTATAAACTTACATTAATTTCCAGTATGGAATTTGCTACTTTCTTGAGGCTGCTGTTACTTACACACTTAGACTTAATTTCACTGACAAATTCATCTTTTAATATCACTTAAGTTTGGAGCAATCACCCAAAAGCCTGCCTGGGGGGAATTTAATTAAAGTCATCTGAATAAGTCTATGAAATTCTAATTTTCATAAAAAAAGGGGAATTAAATATTTTCTTTAGGACTAAAAGGATATTCTGTGTCTCTGTGCTTATACTCTCCCTGACAGTCAAGAGAAGAACTTCAAGTAACTTTCTGGGCCACCATCCACATTCTGAAAAGCTTTTTCATTTCACACAGCTTGTGAAAACAGAAGCTTTTAAGTGACAGTCCTTTGAGGTTCGAGTCAAGGAGCTCCCCTCTGATTCCATTCTTTGTCTTGCTGTTTTTCTAAAAGTTAGGACAATCAAATTTTGAAAAACTGTTTCAACTGATTCAGCCCTATTAGCTCCTTTCTTTCTGAGTACTTTAAAGAACCTTGAGCTGGATGGAGGGCCAGTATAATTTCATTTTCTTTATCCTTGAACACTTTGAAGGAAAAATTATGTGATAACATGATCTACATGACAGCGTAACAATGTGATCAAGTAGATGTGCATTCTACCTGAATGAACATAGACACTAAACAATGTGAAACTATAAGCAATATCAAATTCATGCCTATCTGTTCTCTAGGTTATCTGTATCACATAAGACTCACACCAGGGTTGGACCACAGTAAGGTAGAGGTTGACCATGTTAGGGGTTTGTGAAAGACACCTAATCTGTGTGAAGGTAAGACTTCAAGCCCTGAAACAATGAATTTATAGGAAGAAAGGTGCTAAATCTGTTAACTTTATAAAATAAAAAGAACATTCCTGTACTCCAATCCAGGATATTAAATTCTTACCAATACTTTAACCACATTACAAAAAGTAACAACACAGCCAATATTTGTATTCAATGATTTCTCCCAAAAAACGAATTTTCTTCTCTTAAAATACCTTAAAATGTGATCATGACCATGCCACTGATGCAGTGAAATCTTTCTTTTCTGAAGGATTTTAACCTTTCACAGACAAAAAATAGAAAAAAAAAGCAAAAACAGAGAAAGAAATGCTTAAGAAAGAAATAGTTTTGCAACAAGCCCTGAAAGTCCGCAAGTTCAAGTTCTGTCACATTATGAATGAGAACACTCTTGCAGAATGACAACGTACACATCCTCATAAATCATCTTAACCAGTCTAGTCTGTGGAATATGGGTCTAGTGCATACCCTGCTTAAAGCACTGTGTAATAAGCAGCCACCTACATTTTGGATCAGCTGTGCTTTCTGTGATTTTCAGTCATTGGTCAATAAAAATTATGCTCAATAAACTAAATGTTACATTGAAAAGATAAAGCATTATAGCCCACAATGAAAATAAGATCTACTTGCCCTCCACACTGTGGTCAATGAGATCAGCCCATTCAACAGGAGTAAAGAAATACTGGCATGATTTTTATCTCATCTGCATACTTAAAAATACAGTCCTGAAAAATGTACTCAGGTTTCTCAAAAACGATGATAGAAGAAAAGTCCTGCTCTGTTTATCATAAACTAAATAGTGTTACCTTAATCTTGTCTAAGGTCAATTTCATGGATCTCATTCTAATGTTATATAAGTCCATTAGCACTTTGCTTTCTCTTGATGAACCTTGTGACTTTCATTTAAATTACAAGTGGTAGTGAATCAAATCGTAACAAATCAGGACTGACAAACAAGTAAACATTTTTTTTGTGTAGTAACTGAAATAAAACTCACTGAAAGTAAAATCTTCCTGCACCACATTAAATATTTACCCAGGTCCCAGGCTTTTGGCTAAGCCACAGACAATACACCAGCATTAAGTATACAGTGGTGTAAACACGCAATATATTAAATATTATTTTCGAAAGTATGCCTGAAGACTCCACATTTGCCTTAAAGTCTTCCATTTTGGTCTCTTTACTATGATGTCAAAGGTACTGTTCTACTAACGTAGTTTGCAAAACACTTAGAAATGATGGCGGTTTATCCTGCTTGTTCATCTGAAAATTGTATTTTTAATTTTGAATTTAGCAATTTTTACACTTCCATTTTTTTCTGTTGAATATAATTTGAATTATTATTTGGGATGTTTGGCTCAGCACTGACTAGTCTGTATTTTCTTATTCCATTTCATCTTCTACTTCATAAAAATGCCATTATTGAATTCCACATTACTGTCAGATATAAGCATCTTAAAGTTATTACATATCTGGAATATAGTCATGATTATTTTGTCTGGATTGAAAAAAAAAATGACAGATACTTTCAGTAAATTTATCACTGAAAAGTAGAAATCATAGAATAACAGGTCTGTATAAGATAGTTTAGAAATCATAGTGGTATATACATGCTACAAAGCAAGGATGAGAATTATCATTACAGTATTTCAATTTGCTAAGACTACTAAGACTAATCCACAAAACAAAAATGTAAAGAGTTTCTACTTTATTTCAAGGGTTGTGGATTTATTTTACTGCTGCACTGCTTTTGTTACAAATAAAACATGTCACTTCACATTTTATTTAAGTTTCTCTAAAAATTAGCATTTTAAATCTTCTTTGAAATGCTGCAAAATTTCTTATGTCTCATTTCTCACAACTAAATAGCAAATTTTATTTTCCTATGTTTCTGAAACACTAAATCTGGAAATGTTGAATATTTTCATTGCTGTTTGTTGACAATAAAATATTAATTAATTTTTAAAATGTAACAAAGCAGCACAGCTGCTGTCATTATAATTATGGTTGTCTGGTAAAGGTATGATTCCCAATGACAATGAGAATTAATCAAATAATTAGTACTTTACATTGTTGCCTGTGTTCTTTTTTATAAATGTAGTTCTCATTCCCAGGTGGTAATTACCTATTAGGTGAAGGCATGTGCCTGAAATACTCTTTTACCCCATAAATTTTCAATACACAGTTTGCGGCCTACAGGAACCTGTGATTAATCACTTACTAATTGGATCATTCTTTCACTGTCAATAAAGTACAAACTACATACAAGGCACTCAACTCCATTGTTTACTAGATCCCTCTAGAGAAAGAGCAGATCTTACAATAAGACAATCAGCGTAACTACAGCAAAAATGTTTTTGTATATTCAAATGCAAAATGCACTCAATTTCATCATGTTACCTTTCATAACAGTTTTGCTTGCAAGGAAGAAAAAGAAAAAAAAAGAAAAAAAAAAGAAATAGGAACATCTCTAAGCAAATGTATTCATTAAACCCCTAATTCTCCTCATGGACAAACTTAAACTGCTTTTGTTGGCTTTATTGAAATTTAAATATACTATATACTAGGTATATTGGGTAGAAGTTATCCCAAACATGCACATTACTGAATTTGCAGCATACTGAGAATGACATCTATAAAAAGGACCTCCCAAGCAAGCAACAAAGATGAGGTTCTCATCCTGCATATCTGAGCTTTGAATCTGAGGATTATTCATTGCCACTGAATTCGGTTTTACAAGCTATGAGAAAGAAAGAGTACAGTCGTGATACTTCATGAAAATGTACACATGGGCATGGGGTCAAAATGAGCCAAGCCTGAGACAGCACCAAAGTCAGTAATAGATCAGAAAAGACTACTGCTTGTTTCTGTAAGAAAGCATTTGTCTATATTCACTTGAGTATGTTATTGTCCTATTCTGCCATAGAAATAGTTGTGTGGACTGTGTATTTAACCTGCCAATAACTGAATTCAACACTTAATTATTTTAAAGTTCACAAGTTTTCTAATTTGAAGGTGCTGATAGTTTAAGCCTTACATTAAAACTTGGTAACACCAGTACTGAACAACTGCAGGAGAACAATAGATTTATTTTCTATTTTTATTGGCCAGATTCCAGATGTTTTGTTATGGTTAAAAGTGTAAAAACACTAAATTAATGCAGAAATACAAATATGAACTTAAAAGCACTTACTAGCACCTATGTACTCCAGTGGAGGACCTTACAGCAAAGAGTTTTTCTTCTCTCAGTTCAGGTGAATTTCCATAAAAACATGCAAATATTATTTTGGATTATTACATAGATAATAAATTCACAGCAAAATAATTTGGTGGAACAATTCACTTAATGTATTTAGAAGTTGCAGGTCACACCAGACATGCATCCACACACAAACACGCACACCTAGAGAAGCATATATACATTGATCCCAAACACATGAATAGAGGACATCTGGAAAGGACTGCACACTGGCTTTAGGGCCTCTGAATTCACTCCCTCATGAGAACATCAATGAAGGAAACAACATACCCCGCTAACAAGAAGGAAAAAATGATCAAAAGACTGGTTCATCAATCTTGAATTCTACATTATTACAAGTCATAGAATCATAGAATAGTTAGGGTTGGAAAGGACCTTAAGATCATCAAGTTCCAACCACCCTGCCATGGGCAGGGACACCTTACGCTAAATCATATCACCCAAGGCCTCGTCCAACCTGGTCTTGAGCACTGCCAGGTATGGAGCATTCACAAACTCCCTGAGCAACCCATTCCAGTGCCTCACCACCCTAACAGGAAAGGATTTCCTCCTTATATCCAATCTAAACTTCCCCTGTTTAAGTTTTACCCGTTACCCCTTGTCCTATCACTACAGTCTCTAATGAAGAGTCCCTCCCCAGCATCCCTACAGGCCCCTTCAGATACTGGAAGGCTGTTATGAGGTCTCCACACAGCCTTCTCTTCTCCAGGCTGAACAGCCCCAACTTTCTCAGCCTGTCTTCATATAGGAGGTGATCCAGTCCCCTGATCATCCTTGTGGCCTC